TATTTCACTGGTATTTTAGATGTGGAAGTTAGCAGTCATTCCCAACATTTAAAATCACAGGATCAGGACTCAAATCACATGGGTTTAATTCCAGGGCTGTGGTTTTCTACCTTTGCGACTAATAATAAATAACTTAGTATTCCAAAGTCTCCACTTCTTCATGTGTAAAAGTGATGCTCCCTCTTCGCAGCACTGTCCTATAAAGTAAATGAGGATGTAAGAGTGAAACCCTTAGCAAAACAGCTGAGGTAAATTTTAGATCTTACAATGCACACTCTATGTTGAAGAGTCTAGGAATTATTGAGAGTGGCCCAGTCACCCTTTCTTTCTAATTCCTAGCAGTATACAGTTTCTTTTGGAAGAATCTTTTTGATAAAAGCTTTACCATCAAAAATCTGAGGAGTCTTTGATGGTTCTTTTCAGTAGATCTTTATTATGAGCAGCGCAACCATCGAGGCGTAAATTGGCCAAACAGATTTCCCAGCTGAGTCAGGAGAGTGAGCCAGAGGGATGGATATTGGAATTACCATTTCTAGAGGTGATTCCTGGATGAAATGTGGACGGGTCTGTGGGTTTGTTTCTGCTACTGAGAACATATATAACATCTTCCCTGTCACCTCTAAACTTGTTGGTCTTCCTCTCCTTTATCTTGTGAAACTTTCCTTATCCTTCCAATAAAATCTCCTTTAGATGAACTTAGTCAGAAGTAGCTTCTTTACAGTTCAAAGGGATCTAAGTGAGAAGACAATCACTATTAAAGATTAAATCTCTGGAGGATTAAATAACATCGTCCAGATCACACAGCTAGAAATGTTCTATGCACTATCATTAAACAACTACAGCTATGTTTAAACTGATGGAGACTTAGCTTGATATTTAAAAGAGGCATTTTTAAAATAAATCGTATCTGATTTAGACATCTCTGCAGGAAACTACTTTGAACTAAAAATTCTCATTCTGTTATAGGTTTTTCACAAATTATACTTGGTTGCATATTCTTCAAGAATATAATCATTATTATTTTTGTTAAGAAATATGTATTTCTTGTCAAGAAAACTGATTTCTCAGAAATACTGAATTGAAAACCTTCCAAGAAATTTTTATCAATTTCAGTTATTGTTGTAGAGCCTGATAATAACATTGAGCATTTGACTAAATATGAGCTTCATTAATGGATTTATTTATTTAGTTAGTTATATCTTCATCTTCCGTTTCCAATGTGACCATTCGTTGTAGCCCAATTACAGGCTTTTTATTTACTATGAAGTCAGTCTCATTAATCCATTAATAAACAAATATTGACTTTATTTTCTGCAAACTTGTGATGCTTCAGAAGTCATTGTTACTTCGTTTTCAAAATGAGCTCTGATAAATCTTTTCTGTTGCAGAAATTGCAAAAGAAAAAATCAATTTAAAAAATCTTATTGATTTAATAACACCTGGTTTTAAGTTACCAACCTGGTTCAAGGCCAAATGCTCTAGATTCTCTAGCGACCTGACCTGACTGTGTGATTCCTTCTAGACAGAACCCCTCCTTAGCACAGGTGAGTAGTTGACCCTTGAGGAGGCAGGAACTTCTTTTTTTTGAATCTGTCTCTCAAAATCTTATAAACAATCGATGAGACTTTAATCATCTTTACCATAAGATATAATTTCTATAAACCTTCTTGTAATGTTTACAATACTGTATTAAGGAGTAGGTTAATGCTCCAAGAAAACATTGTTAAGCTGACACAGGGACCGAGATGCTGGTTTTGTGTCAGTGTGTCTTTGATATTAGTGGTTAATTCCTAGAGAAACTGAGCTAATTTTATCTCTTAAAATCAGTCATTGCAGTCTCACATGCCCACATCTTCCTTTACAGTCCCTGGGCCTTGAGGAGTTGAATAGTTTTAATTTCTAGTCCTGTGTCTCACGAACCCCCTTTATATTTTGTTTTAGTTCTGGGATACATGTGCAGGATATGTAGGTTTTTTAACATAGGTAAATGTGTGCCATGGTGATTTGCTACGCCTATGAACCCATCACCTAGGTATTAGCGCCAGCATGCATAAGCTATTTATCCTGATGCTCTCCTTCCCCTGCCCCACTGACAGGCCCCAGTGTGAGTCCTTCCCCTCCCTGTGTCCATGTGTTCTCATTGTTTAGTTCTGACATAAGCGAGAACATGTGGTGTTTGATTTTCTGTTCCTTCATTAGTTTGCTGAAGGTAATGGCTTCCATCTCCATTCAGGTCCCTGCAAAGGACATGATCTTGTTAATTTTTATGGCTGCATAGTATTTCATAATGTTTATGTACCACATTTTCTCTATCCTGTCTATCATTGATGGACATTTGGGTTTAGTCAATGTCTTTGCTATTGCAAATAGTGCTGCAATGAACATATGTGTACATGTATCTTTACAGAAGAATAATTTATTTATATTCAATTGAATATATCCAGTAATGGGATTGCTGGATCAAGTGGTAATTCTGGTTCTAGGTCTTTGAGGAATTGCCACACTGTCTTCCATAATGGTTGAATTAATTTACATTCCCACCAACCGTGTAAAGATGTTCCTATTTCTCCACAGGCTTCCCAGCATCTATTGTTTCTTGACTTTCTAATCATCACCATTCTGAGTTCTGTGAGACGATATCTCATTGTGGTTTTGATTTACATTTCTCTGATGATAGTGATGTTGAGCTTTTTTTCATATATTTCTTGGCCACATAAATGTTTTCTTTTGAGAAATGTCTGTTCATGTCCTTTGCCCACTTTTTAATGATTTTTTTTTCTTTGTAAATTTGTTTAAGTTCCTTGTAGGTTCTGGATATTAGACTTTTGTCAGATGGATAGATTGCAAACATTTTCTCCCATTCTGTAGGTTGCCTATTCAAACTGATTATAGTTTCTTTTGCAGTGCAGAAGCTCTTTCGTTTAATTAGATCCCATTTGTCAATTTTTGGTTTTGTTGGAATTGCTTTTGATGTTTTCATCAGGAAATCTTTGCCCATGCCTATGTCCTAAATGGTATTGCATAGATTTTCTTCTAGGGATTTTTTTGTTGTTGTTATAGTTTTGGGCTTTACATTTAAGTCTTGAATCCATCTTGAGTTACTTTTGGTATAAGGTGTAACAAAGGAGTCCAGTTTCAATTTTCTGCATATAGCCAGTTCTCCCAGCACCATTTATGATATAGGAAATCCTTTCCTCATTGTTTGTTTTTGTCAGGTTTGTTGAAGATCAGATGGTTGTAGATGTGTGGTCTTATTTCTGAGTTCTCTATTCTGTTCCATTGGTCTATGTGTCTGCTTTTGTACCGGTACAATGCTGTTTTGGTTATGGTAGCATTGTAGTATAATTTGAAGTCGGGTAGTGTGATACCTCCAGCTTTGTTCTTTTTGTTTAGGATTGTCTTGACTATATGGGCTCTTTTTTGGTTCCATATGAATTTTAAGGTAGTTTGTTCTAATTCTGTGAAGAATGTCAATGATAGTTTAATGAGAATAGCTTTGAATCTATAAACTACTTTGGGCAGTATGGCCATTTTCATGATACTGAGTTTTCCTATCCATGGGGATAGAATGTTTTTCCATTTTTCGTGTGTCTTCTCTGATTTCCTGAGCAGCAGTGGTTTGTAGTTCTCCTTCAAGAGGTCCTTTGCTTTCCTTGTTAGCTGCATTCCTAGGTATTTTATTGTCTTTGTAGCAATTGTCAATTAGAAGGAACTCTTCTTAAGGAGCAGTTAGCAGTGGATCTCACGACTCTGCATTTTCTAGTACCGTTCCAGGTCTTTTGGTTTTGATTCTATAGTACAATTTAATTATGTAAATGTTTTTGAAATCCTGCCAAATAAAAGTGTGAGGAAATAACTGGTTGATATTTTTTTTTTTCATAAAACTTTGCTGATTTCTCATGCTGGTAGTCAACCAAGTTATCCAGATAATTGTGGCCCTTTTGACTTCTCCTGAAGTTGCCTTTTTCTCAGCTTCCTCACCTTTAATGAGTGTCTAGGTGTGTTAACTGGTGAAGGGAGAAAGATAAAAAGGAAGATACGAGAACTGAAAGTCAAACACCAATCTATAGCAATGACTTAATATTTACTTCTGTAACATGCACATTTGAGGATGCTACATGGCATTTCTTGAATTAACTCTTTTCCTAATGTTCCACTTGAAGTTATGATAAGTTATGTGTATAATAAGGACAAAAATCATTTGAGGGTCAAGTTTAATTCTAAACCTAAATAAATTATTTATATTACCATATAACTAGCCTTATTCAGTTGTGAAAACCATCCAGCCAAATTCTCTGTCTCTTTCTGATCGAGAACAACTGGTCAATAAAGAAGCCAATTTAATACTTCAGGTTAGGGCAACTAGAGGGGAGATAAAATCTCATAGAAGATAAGCCAGATTGCAACTCTACTACTTAATAACTATTACTAAGTTCCTCTGAGCCTCCATTTTCTCAAATGGAAAGGAATAATAAGATCTACCTTGGAGAACACTTTTGAGGATTAAGTGAGACACATGTAAAGCACTTAAAAATGTATTTTGTTCATAGATATACTTGCAGGTATTTTTCTCACATATTAGCACTTGCAAATTTTTTATATTTTATATTTTATTTTTTTATTGCAAATATTTTTTAAAAGGAAATAGAAACTTACTATAGTTTAACCACATTAAAATAGGTCCTCTTGGTAATATTTCTAAAATTTAAATCTTTTATTGAAGATGGTCTTCCCAAATTCAATTTTTTAAAAGACCCTCAACCCCAGTTTCTTACTGAATTAAAATGCAGTCTAGTTTTCTGAAGACATATAGGTGGGAGAAAGTCAAGGGTGGGAGAATGTTTAATGGAAACTGGCAAGCAAATTATTAACTCGTGGGCTTTCTTTAAAAAAAACAATATGTGCATATTTTGTTGACCAAATACAACTCTTTCTGTGCAAATACTTCATAACTTGGTTGCAGAGAAGACATGAGTCTGAAAACTCCTTTTTCACTTTTATACTAAAGCTGGATTTAAGCATTATAATGATTTGAATTATTCAATACCACAGATGTCCTCAGATCTTCACAACTGTTACAATTCAAGAACCCAAATGGAGTGAAAATGAGATCTCAGGCTCCAAAGAAATTACAACGATAAGTCACAAATATGTAATGGACAGATAAGAGGAAAAAAAATAGGATGAACATGTGATAGTTGGCATGTGGCAAGACGGAATCTGAGAAATGAATTTCATCGAAATGGAAGATGAAATAGGTGATACATTTTATAGTTACCTATTTTTACTTTGAAGATTGGATGGAGAAAAGCTATCATCTTCTTGGTTATATTAGGACTCAGCAAGTAGATATTCATCTATGAGTTAATTCAACCATTCCTTTAGCAACCATAATAAGAAGTGCTGTTGACTAGAAGTAAGAATGCCAGCTCTTTCTTGAATGAGAAGCAAACTAAAGCTATTTCTTCTTTTTCTGGCTGTTTGATCTCAGGCTAGCATGACTGTAAGTAACTTCATTTCAGTTTTCTTATTTGTAAATTAAGTATGCCTACCTCATGAAGGATCACTCTAATAAAATTGCAAAAAAAAAAAAAAAGGTGGGGGGAATAAAATATGTAAATAGATTTTAGTCCAATGCCTGGTACACAGTATGATCTAAAGTAAGTAATTGTTATCATTTCTGAGTTCCTGTTGTTTACTAGGTACCATAGCTAACATTTTATATGACTTACGTCATTTAATTTGCACAACTTTAGCTTGGTTGGGAATAATTATTCTTCTTTTAAAGAGGAGAAACCCAAGATCCAGAAAACTTACATAATTTGACCATGTTTATTCAGAAATGGTAGAAATCTGAATTGAACTCATAGCTTTCTGTCTGATGTGGTTTGACTGTGTCCCCCAAAGCTCATGTGTTGGAAACTCAGTCCCCAGTACAATTGTATCAAAAGATGAGACCTTTAAGACATGATAAGGCCATGAGGGCTCTGCCCTCACAAATGGATTAATGTTTTTGTGGTGGGAGTGGATGACTTATCACAGGACAACTGCTTAAAGGATTTTCATTAAAACAATGTGTTGGGCCCTCTTCCTCTCACTCTCTCTTGTGCTTGCTTTTTTACTCTTCTGCCTTTGGCCAGGGGATGACACAGCTAGAAGGCTCTTACCCAGTGTGGTTCCTTGATCTTGGTCTTCCCAGCCTCTAGAACTATAAGCCAAATAAACATCTGTTCTTTATAAATTATCCAGTTTTGGCCAGGTGCAGTGGCTCAAGCCTGCAATCCCAGCACTTTGGGAGGCCCAGGTGGGTGGATCACCTGAGGTCAGGAGTTCGAGAACAGCCTGGTCAACATGGTAAAACCCCATCTCTACTTAAAATACAAAAATTAGCTGGGAGTGGTGGTGTACGCCTATAGTCCCAGCCACTCAGGAGGCTGAGTCAGGAAAATTGCTTGAATCCTGGAGGCTGAGGTTGCAGTGAGCCAAGATCGTGCCACTGCACTCCAGCCTGGGTGACAGAGTGAGACTCTGTCTCAAGAAAATAAAAAGAGAAAAGAAATTATCCAGTCTTTACTATCTGTTATGGCAGTACAAAATAGACTAAGACACCGACCTGCAAGTCCTTGTACTACCATTTCCTTTTGTTTCCATTTGTTTTTGCTATAATTTTATCATGCATCCCTCATTTTAAGGATAAGATTATTTTCTCTACAGCCATTATTAAGAGTTATTTAAAACTGCCTTATAATGCTGTTCTCTGGGGTTTTCTATATGTTTATCTTCTCTTCCAGAAACTTAATTGATTTCCCTTAAGAAAGATAATGAGTCATGACGTACTTATCTCAGCATTTCCCCTAGGACAAAATGAATACATAGGTGCATAACAGCTGCTAAATAAATGACAAAATAATACAGCATAGGCTGTATTTTGCTACACTGTAATTCAGGTTAAGACTTACATTTAAGGCATCTTTTTATCTTCAGTACTTAGAATGTTTAAATGAATGAGGAAATAACACCCAGTTCAACTAAATGAGAAAATAACCCTAACTAGCCATAAGGAATGTTACTTCATTACAAAACCATCTATTGAATGAATTGTTTATGAAATATTTTCTCCTATTTAAAATTTTCTCATTTTCCAATAACTGACATACAACTATATTTATATCACTGAAACTTCTAGAAATGGAAAAGAACGCTTGCATCAATCAACACTTGATTGCATTCAGGTATAGTAATTCTGATTACAGTAGCTTTGATACATTTTTATGTTTTAATTTTCTCCCTATATTCAAATTGACTTGTAGGATGTTCTTACAGGGAAAATAGAGCAAGCAGGACTTTTGACATAATCAATTCGATTTCAAATTTGGGTTCCATCTCTTGGGTTGTCCTTTCTTATGGGAGAACTATCAGAAAGAATGGAGGCTATTTTGAAGAGAATAGCTATCTAAATCACCTGCATTGGCAAAGAACCATAGTAAAACTGTATACATTCATACTGTTTGTGTGTGTGAGAGAGAGAAAATTTATCTTTAAATAACTACTTTTCAATCAATTAATCAGTAAGCATTTATTTAGTACAGAATCTATATTGGACACTCCGCTAAATGCTTTTGGAGACAAATTTATGACATAGTTGTTCCATATACTCTTACACTAAATATTTGATATTTAGAATTTTCCCTGACAAACGTGCTCCACCTAAACTCTTCTAACATCCTATAGCTTCTTTTATTGTCCTGCTATTTTTGCCTGTCTGCTCCCATGGATTTGTCTTTTTAGACCTTCTCTGGCTCTTCAGCTTTGATGTCACCACTTACATTATATAAGTGAACTGTGCCTTGCACAATGCCAGGATGTGTCCATCCTATATGACCATTGTGGATTTATCCCAGATGAATCTTTTCTCTGACTGTTTCTATAAATTATAGGCTTCCTTTTGAAGATGAAATAATTCACTGTCCATGAGTTAAACAATTCTGGGACAGGTGACTTCACTGGTCCTGCCTTAAAACATACTATGACCAAGCAGTATTTTATCCACCAACTAATCTTTCTCAAATCCAACCACTTCCCCACTTTTCAAGACACACCTTATTCAGCTCAGGTTCTAATATCCCATATACACCCTTCTCTAATTTTCTCACTTTGAGATACTACAAACACGCTTCTAAGTTGGTGTTCTCCATTACTACACAGTGGCCTAATAAAGTGAGCTTTTTGGGGGAGTTGGTAATCAATACCTTTTAAGTGGGATTTCCTTTCTAATATTGTACCCTCTTCAGCCTAACTTGTTTTCAGAGTGCATGGTAACCAAATCATTTAAGCATTAAAAATTCTAATGATTACAGAATAACTGCACAACAGCTGCTAAATAAATGGCAAAGTGATACAGTATAGGCTGTATTTTGCTACACTATAATTCAGCTTAAGACTTACATTTAATGCCTTTTTATCTTCAGTAATTAGAGCATCTAAATCAATGAGGAAAAACACCCAGTTTAACTAATTTTCATTGAAAATTCTTACGGTTACAGAATAACTACATTTTAAAGAGCAAAAAAAAAAAAAAAAAAAAAAAAAAAAAAAAAAAAAAAAAAAAAAAAAAAAAAAAAAAAAAAAAAAAAAAAAAAAAAAAAAAGAATACTCAGAAGAAAATTCCAAAACCCATAAGTAAATGCAGGTTCTGGTGTGGAAGAAATGCCTTCAGTTTTGAATCTGCAAATACATGATTCCATAGGTACATGAGCACTCTCTTTTCTCCTAGGTTAACTTTCATAATTGCTAATCTCTGTGTCTGGCATGAATCTAAGGGTCTTACATAATTCATTTTGTTTAATCATTACCTCAAATAAGATTTTTATTTTTGTCCCATTTTATAGCTAAAAATACTAAGCCACAGACAGGTTAACTAACTTGTCATTAGGCATAAAGTTAGTAATTGATAAAGCTAGGTGGTATCATAGTAGAACTGAGACTTGAAGCCTCTATGGCATACTACGTTCTTGAAATGTATGTAGTCTTGTTGTCTTAAAGAGGCATAGGGGCATGCTGATTATGACCACATTTGAAACATTCACCAGATGGGTGATGAATGATTTATTCATCTTGTATTATAAATTTAAACATAATGTAATCACTGTCACCATTATCAATTGTGCATGCTAATTTATTGTATAATTGTATGTAAAATACATGAGCATCTTTTGTATGAAAATCCTAAATATCTCCACATATTAACATAATTTAATGTTTTATTTGTATGCATTGTTATGTCAAACTTGAGTGACAAGTTGAAAATATATAATATATTTTTCAATCTTGATTATAGTGGTCAATATAAGATGGTTAGTTACTTTTTAAAACAAAGATAGATTTTCTAATAAAATGACTGAAATATATATAATAAAACTATTTTTTTCACACTGTCCTTATTTCCAAGGTTACTCTCTCAATGTTGTGATTTTAATTTCCTTTATGTTTATATTACTAGGCATGATGGATTAAAAAAACACATTTATGATTAAGATTTGAGAAGATAGCTTATAATTAGTACAGTAAATTGCAAAAATACACACACATTATGGTTGTCAATTAATATGTAAAATTACATTTCTGAAGTAACTATATTTTATAATTTTTAAAAATATTTGAATTATAATGTGACCTTCAACTTACATTAAATGTTTAAGAGCAATGTATTTCAGGAGGAATAATATAACCAATGCTTATAATGCAGTGCTCATTTACTCTTGTCTGCATTATGGTAGAACTTCCTGACTCCCTTGCCTCTTTTTCTTCTGAATTTCTCTCTACACTGGCAACAAACTGATCTTCATAAATGTAAGAACAAAATTAACCTTTATTTGAAATTCTCAACTGTCAAATAAGTAAAATTTATTACAAGTATCTAAAAAGGTGCCCAACATCACCAATCGTTTGAGAATTGCAAATCAAAACAACAAGATCACTGCCCATCTGTTAGAATTGCTGTTATCAAAAAAAGATACAACAAAAGATAATAGTGTTGATGAGCATGTAAAGAACGGGAGCCATTGCATCCTGTTAGCAGGAACTCATACTAATACAGCCATTGTAGAAAACAGTATGGAAGTTTCTCAAAAAATTAAAAATAAGACTACCATATGATCCAGCAATCCCAATTCTGGGTATATATCCAAAGGAATTAAAATCAGGGTCTCAACTAGATAGATATCTGCACTACTGAATTAATTGCAGCAGTATTCACAATAGCCAAGATGTGGAAACAACCTAAATGTCCATCTACAGATGAATGGGTAAAGAAAATGTTGGATATACATACAATAGACTACTATTCAGTCTTATAAAAAAGAAGGAAATCCTTCCATCTGTGGCAACATGATGAACCTGGAGGAGGTTATGCTAAGTGAAATAAGCTACACAGAGAAGGACACATTCTCCGTGACCCCATTTGTTTGAGGAATCTAAGCTAGTTGAACTCAAAGAAACAGAGAG